GGTTATTTGAACGTTCGCTGCGCTACTTTCCTGATGTCGTGGAAAATCACTGAAACAGTAAATATTTTAACAACGGTTTGATGGATCGCCTTTCATTACTGGACATTTATGGTCCCCAGAGGGCGAATAGACGCCACGCACTTGTCCTTCGCTTTATTGCAACAGCTGCACAAAAAAATGGCCTTTTGATCAGGCTCAGCTGTTCTTGTGTATTCTGAGTTTGCACACTTACACGGTGAACATGGTGAACATTATACCTGCTTATCATCAGCACGTTAGTTCACCTCACTGGCCGCAGTTTGCTTTTATAGGCGACCAACGAATAAGTACTGATGTTGGTTAAAGCTCCTAATAGTTGGTTTACATGACTGGAAACGACTCACTGGAAGGCTTAAAATTTCCCTATTCCATAACCACGCTCGGTAACGTCACATAGCTCCTTTCTTCCGGCCAAACTCCCCCCCCCCGATAAGAGAAAAGGCACGTGATGTTTGATCCTTTTTGAGTGAGGCGATCAGAGGAAACGGGAGGCTTCCGTTTTCTCATTCTTTTCAGCTTAAAGTGTTAAAGTTTCCGATTGAATATTTAAAACATCTTACCTGACATTGGAACCATTTCAATTCATGATCTATTATTTATGCTCTCTGAGACACTCCCCCCCCCCCATTCACACTTGTTCCTACACCTCGGCTGTACTCTGTTCCACGTGACCACAAACTAACTGCAGCGTGCTGAGGATTCTCTGCTGCCTCACGGCCATCAGGGAAACAGAGGAAACAGCCGTTTGTGTCACGGAACCGGAGGAGCTTCAACAACAACATTCTGCAGGCAGAAGAAAGAAATGTATATATATATTAGGGCTGCAACTAACGATTATTTTGATAATCGATTAATCGGTCGATTATTTCTTCGATTAATCGGATTTTTAAAAAAAACGGCATTAAAAAGCTTTAATTTCCAACCCTTTATTCTAAAACAGAACCTCAAATTCGTCAGAACTAGTTCTCTATACTACACTTACAAACACACCCTCATGTTCACTTGAAGCATATTCATTAAATTATTACCATCATTGTAGTGCAAGTTAAGTAAATGCACACAGCTAAAAAACAACCAAGTGCTATGAGATGAATTTAAAATGACATTTGTAAATAAATGCATTAGAGGCTTCTTAGTGGATTTAATGGATCACCATGTGTCTCCCTTTACAGGCATAACATCAACTACCGTATAACCCACAGTATATGCGCAAGCGCACTGGACTACCGTATATGACAGCATCAAAAAGTACAACACACACAAATATATTTGTCAACAATAACCGATATGGGACAAAGCACAAAATATCAGACAACACATTGAAAAATGAAAGGTCCAAAAGAGGCGAGTAAATAAAAACGTGTCTTAGTCTTGCTAACTGCGTTACTGCTGTTACTAGCGAGCTAACGCTAGCTTGATCAGCTGGATGACGAGTAAACAGGAGGCTTGTTACGTCCCTCACGTCAAAACGGGACATGAAATGTAAATGTGCAATAGATATAAATAGATTTAAATGATTTATCCAGCATTAGCCAGTGTGGATTTAATCATACATGTACATATCCACACCGTTCATTATGTTTATGTCCCACATGTGATAAGCGTAATGTTTGGTCCACGTCAGACACGGTGGTGGACGGAGGACGCAGGCCGGGGCCTTCACCACAGATCATTGCTCGGAGCTGAGAGGCGAGGACGTGCCGACAGAAGGTGATGCGCGCTTCAACAGCAGCTCTTGTCACTCACTCACTCCCGGCGAACGCACATGGCTGCCGTCTGCTGCCGGCCTTTATCTCCCTTTTTAAAAAAGACAGGTTCCCTTTGTGGGTTTAAGTGGGAAGAAGCAGACGGGGGCTCTGCCATCCGGCGTTCTCTCTGATCCTCTGGGCCCAAATTGCGTTTCATCCTTTCTTCACTTTGCATTCCTTGATCCTGTTTGTTTGTACTCCGCTGAGCGGTGCTGCTGTGTGTTTGTGTGTGTGTGTGTGTGTGTGTGGAGATGAAGTCTACATCGTATTTTACAAAGACATCAAGTAAAGGTCTTATCCTTCCGGGTTTGCATAAACAAGCACACTGGAATGACCAACGGGCCCCGCGTGAGAGCTTTCTGTTACACCCGATCGGAAGAAAGATGGCGGGGGCCGCTGTCAGAAGTGGGAGGACTATTCTAGCGATGCAAAGCATCATCATCAGCACGCAACGCAACGCAGTAACGAACCCATCCCAACCCCAGTAACGCTTTAGATGCAGCGCGGCTATTTAAATGAACACAGTGTTTTCTTGACAGAGACGAAGGAGGTCATTGGCGCGGTTAGATAAAGCGCTTTAAAGCAGCGTTGTAGCCCTTGTCTCCATCCCTGACCCATCAATAACGGAGAGCCTCTCATAAGTAATTATCCCGGGTGCTTCGCTGAGCAATAGGCCGACCGACAGACACCGAGAGGCAGACTCATTTAATTCACTCTCCCTCAGCAGCTTTTTCATGCTGAAGTGTAGCATCGGCCGATACTCGCACATGCCAGCGGTGCACTCTGTGTGTTTGTGTGTGTGTCTGTGTGGCAGAGGCTTTAAATCAAATCAGCCTGCTGCAAACAGCTCTGTAATCATATGATGGGAGTCGCAGGGGGATCCCGGCTGCAGATGTCTGCTCGGCGGTGTGGACGGGCCCCAGAGAGTCGTGGCCTCGGAGCAAAGCGGCTGAACAAGTGGCGCTTCACTGGAACGTTTAAAGTAATGAGGCCTGAAAAACTCATCAGGGTTCATCTAGTATCTATTTATCTGTCTATCTATTCCCCTCCCCATCCTTCTCTGTCCATCTATCTTTCTTGCATCAACACGCACTCATCCTTGTATATCATTTGTTTGCTCATTGGCGTTTATTATATTGACAGAGCAGCACCTGCACTGTACTTCTACAATGATGAGAAACAGACACACGCAAGAGTCCAACGGTTCAGACACAATCAGGAAATCTTCCAGAATGACGTGAAGATTTGTAGAAATGTGTCTAGATTAGCAGCGATGCTACACTGGGCTCACATCATCATCCTCATAACAAACTGCTCTGGTTGACTACGTTACTGAAGCTCCCTGCAGTAGGTTTAGGTGTTCCACATGCACGTTGAATATACAAGTCTTATTATCTAGAGCAGACTGCAGGCGGCATAACGTCGTGCATCAGTGAGCACCGAACATGTGTTTATCTCTGAACCTCTCGGAGCTGCACTCGTTGATATTTGGCCGACATAACCAGCTCTGTATCTTCTGGGAAAAACCACTGCACCACTGCACCAACACTACATAACTGATGGCTACATTTGGTGATCCTTCTTCTTGATTCTGTTTGGGAAACTGGGCTTTTAAATCCAGCCCACTACATCACTGCTGAATCAGATTTGTAGCCGGTTCTCAGTTCATTTTTTTTGTGCATTTTATTAGCGATAGTTACCTTCGTGATCTCAGATAAACCTCCTGCCACTTTATTAGAAAGAAGATTCCTGCAGAGTATTTCTCCACCTGCGATAGAGTTTTAGGAGGGTAATATCTGTCTGCTGAGCGCTGAGGTCCTTGAACTCTTCTGCAGAGGCCTTGTGTAAATCCAGCAGGTGGGGAGAGAACAGTTCAGCTCATTTAATGGTGACCAATAAATCATTTAAGACGGCGTTAACTAACACGCTAAACCAACTCTTAATGTCTTTGTATCTCCTGCCGGTGCAATGCATCGTGGGGGAGAGAGTCCAGGCAGGCGCCTCACACTCTGCAGCGATGCCGCACGGGAAGCATCTCCCCGCTCTGCAGGGACGCTGCCAGTCGAGACGAATCTCAGCGGCACACAGCGCGGCGATGAAGCCGTCAGCCCGGCTTCGTTTTCTTTTTCAAGTTTAACACAAAGTGCAGCTGCCTGATGTCGGGTGTCCCGTCTCCTCTCACTGTCGATGGCCGGCTGCCATCATCTCGAGGGCCTCTCCTATTTCGCCGTGGCTCTTGTGGCGTCTCCCCACGTAGTGCTGGAGAGGGAAAGAGGCTTGAGTGTCACTGAAGCTGCACTTAATGCCGCTGGTGAGCCAAAGCCTGTCGGCCTCCAGGACGCTCAGAAACCGACGTGTCAAAATTCAATGAAAGGGCTGCACATGGGAAAATATGTGTTTTTCAAATATTGATTGCACGTCGTATTCAACGCTTACTGTGACTGTCCTCTGCAGCTGGAGATCTGATCTTAGATCTGCCGCGATCTTCATCCCCATGCGGGCCGGAAGCCACTTAATGTCCCGAGCACATCGATATAATATACAAATAATAATAATAAAATACAAATATGCTTTCTCCTTTCTGATAATTGTGTTGTGGTAAAAAGCTGCTGTGAGCCTGTTAGATGCACAATCACGGGTCAAGTTAAAATCTAAATTCAATGAATTCTAGCCGTGTTGTTTAACAATGTTTTGTAATATCTGCGGTATTTAAAATAAAGTTAAAGTCTCTGTGAGATAATTATGACCTGTTATGAAACATAATCCTACAGAATTTTGAGACCGCTAAACATAGAGGGTTGGTTTAAGTAAAAGTGAATATTTAAAAGATTGTATTGAAATATATATATTGTATTATTAACAAAAGAAAGTGCAAATACTCAAAGTAGATAACAATGTGTATTATTTCCTTCTGAGATGTTGTAGTTATATCTCAAGTGTGCCTTTAAATACAGTCACTTGAGTCTTCTTCAGTCTTCCTCAGCCATAAAGAATTTAGATTGTAATCCGTTCTTCCAAATATCTTTAATTCAGGTTTCACTGCATCACGTGCTACAAACTGTGTGTCACTCAAACAAACGAGAGTGACATCATCACCGCTGCTGCGTCATCGGAGCACTGCGGGACCCACGGACACCGGTGGATCCCCCGCAGTGCCGGAGATCAGCGACGGGACTGGGAACAGGGAGAGAGAGAGGGAGGGGGAGAGGGGGAACGGGGGGGGGGGAGGAGAGAGGCGAGAGCTGCCGCAGGACACCGCTGAGCCTGTCCGAGGAGGTGAACGGCGCACGGCGGCACATCCGCTCCATCCCGGCGTCCACACCGTGTTCCGGTAGCCATGGTGAGTCCGCGTCTGCGCCCCACTAGCCCGGCTCACCGTTGCAGGGATTCCCATCCAAGTGACCTTGGGAGGGAAAGAAGAAAAGGAGGCGGAGGAGATGCGCTGAAGGGCTGTTTGTGGTGTGCGGCGTGCGCGCAAAGTGGCGGCTCGCCGGGGCCTGTCCAGATGTTTTGTGCTGCGGCACTACGCAGGAGGCGATTATCCTCAGGTGACCCCGACAGTGCGTATTCCTCAGTGGGGCTCACAGCTGCAGCATTCTGCACATATCGGCTCCAGTATTGTGTTGTAATGATGATGCAATGTAGATCAATCGAAAATGTGCGTTCAAAGTTTGTGTTGTTTTTGTCGACAAAGGTTTGCAATCAGTCAAACCAACACGAGTCTGTGTGCTCCGAGCAACGGCTGCAGCCTCATCCATAACCCCGCGTTAGGAGTCTTTTTTGGGGTAATTGTGGATATTTCATGTCTGCATGCATTGCTCTGTTTCCTGTTGGGATCTTCTGAGCTTTTTCCATCAGGAGCTTTCAAACACTTTCCTTCAACTGCCATATGGATGGTGCTCCTGTCACTGAGTTGATCCCCTGGTTCCTCACATTGAAGATGTCAAGCTGCTCACCTTGGTCTTAACCTTTGGTAACCACAGTTCTCTGTTGTGTTCCTCCCAGCAGTTCCTGCAGCAGCTCAGGCCTCTGGCCTTTGGAAAAGTGACGTTAGTGGTTTTCATCCTGACCTCCACCGTCTCAGTGGCTTCCCTGCCCGCTGACACGGACAAGGGGAGGAGGAAGGTGGTGCACGTGCTCGGTAAGCAAACGATATGTATTGGCTGTGAGGTTCTGGTTCTGGTTCAGGTAGCATTCTTTCACAGCATAGTTTTGATCACATGGTGTCTTCCCTCATTAAGGCCCGTTGTAACAGGAGGCGTCGTTTATCCTGGCATCCGTCGGTCGCCGAAATACTGGTTCTAAAAGTTATGAATAAACACAACTCCGCTTTCGTGGCCGCTCGTGATAAACAACTTTGCAGAGAGCAGCAGGGACGTGACTAATTGCTGGTTGGCGTGGATATTTGTTGGTGGCTTCATCCAGTCACCACAGAAAACCTGTTGCTCGTTGGATGTTTACATCACACTCGTTGGCAGTCTTTGGCTGTAGCAGCAGCACACACACACACACACACACACACACACACACACACACACACACACACACACACACACACACACACACACACACAGCATCAGAGCGAGTGTCTGCAATAAATGCAAATCGGCCTCGTTACCGCCCATCAGGAGCAGCGGCCTATGGTTACCATTAGTTTAGGGTGATTTTGGTGAATTGCTCTGCAGAGTGGGTGAGTGGGGTAATGTGATGGCAGAGCAGCTTCTATTGACATGCTGCACGTTGAGGCAGCGCACATGATTCATTCTATCTGGACCCCTGACTGCGTGTTGTATCCATCACCAAGACAGCCGAGGATTTTGTTTTACGGCCAGAACAAAAGTTGAGTACTGGGTGTGATCGCAGCATTAGAAGGACTTCACTGTTTGCAGAATGGAGAATTGTTCACTTTTATACATTTATGCAGGTTAAAAGCTGATAAACGTCACTCAAATTGCCTGTTTGCCACCTCTGTTGCACTCCGGCACCATATCTACATGCAAAACCCACATGTCTGTGACGATTGATCTCTAAAAGCTGTAGCTTACTTTTCCAAATGGTTTATACATTGTGGTGTAAAATATGTGTAAAGAATTTTCCCTTCAGCTTACATTCATTGTAACAAAATATTTATACCTCACAAAATCGCTTTCAAGGGTACGCTTACCGTGTTTGTCAAGCCTCAAAAAACGGTACCATAACCATAGCAACTCAATCTGGCCCGCATGCAGGGGGGAGGGGCTTCACAATAACACATGATTTATAGACTTTACACACACGAAGGTCACAAGATAGTTGAACATTAAACATTTTTACAAGATTTATCGGTATCGATTTGTACAATAAATGTATGAAAAAAAAATAGAGCAAGCAGACGAGAAAAATGCTTCACAATGACCCCCCCCCCCTCCAGAGGACGACACCGGGGCGGTGATCGTGCAGACGGCTCCCGGTAAAGTGGTGACGCACCGCGGCGGCTCCATCACTCTGCCCTGCAGGTTCCACCACGAGCCGGAGGACACCGACCCCGACCGCATCCGGATCAAATGGACCAAAGTGACCGATGCCCTGCAGTTCCAGGACGTCTTTGTGGCACTTGGAAGGTAAAAAGCTTCATTTATCAGTTCGTACGTGCTGTTTTCATGAAGGTGTCTCACCACACATCGAAGGAAAGCCACTTTTTGTCTGACGTTGTCAGTTGTTTGGCTGGTTGCGTTTCTGTGGAATCTCTCCAGGCAGCAGCGCGTGTTCGGATCCTACAAAGGCCGCGTGTTTCTGGAGCGGGCGGGACCAGGTGACGCCTCGGTGGTCATCCAGAACGTCACGCTGGAGGACTACGGGCGCTTCGAGTGTGAAGTCACTAACGACATGGAGGACGACACGGGATTTGTCAACCTCGACCTAGAAGGTCAGCAATTAACGACGGGATTTGGTTGAAACTGACAGTTCTGATGGTGAACCGGCTCTCGTATGAAGCGTTGGCCAATGAGATGATAGTGAAATGTCTCTGTCACCGTTAGGAGTGGTGTTTCCATACTACCCTCGCGAGGGGCGCTACAAGCTCAACTACCACCAGGGGGAGGACGCCTGCAAACAGCAGGACGCCATTCTGGCCTCCCACTCTCAGCTGCACAAGGTGGGTCTACGCCATTGGTTGGCGGACTGACCTTTTTTTACCGATTGTGGCATTTTGGCTCATTTGCAACCAGATGTTCTGGTGCTGGAAATGTCTCAGATTGATGCTAAGCTAGCTGCTAGCAGCCGGGGGGGCATCCTGCTTATGCGGTAGCATTTTGCTTACAGTATTATGTGTTCACCCAATTGACCAACTTCCATAAAAGGTTCCAAAAACAAACAACGGACAACGACGTCGCAGCCACCTGTCAATCTCCATTTAGCCCCGCCCTAAAGCATATCCTCCTTTTACTCTAAATGGACCATTATGCACTGAATGAACTTTGTGCTTTATTGACAAAAGTAAAAACTAGAGTTTAAACCATAAACTCATGTTTACAATGTTTATGATATAAAATCAAGTGTGACCCTTTCCTCATAGACGTCTATACAATCGTACTTAATTTTGGAGGTTCAGACTCGCCCTCCGATGGCAAAGGCCCTCGTGCCGCGAGAGGCCGGAGTCGATCACTGCCACGGGTTTATCACGTCCTCCACAGCACGCTCGCTTGCTGCCCAAGTTCAACAATGCACTTCAACCCTCAGCCATAAACTGCTTGAGAGAAGAACGTGCATATCACAGTGTAGACGTTTGACTGCAGGCCCATTTATTAAAACAAGAAGTAATGGAGTTATGTCAGAGGAGATAAAGCTCTTAATAATGTATTGAATCCTTCAGTTGGACCCGCTGACGTGCGTTATCTCCCTCCTCAGGCCTGGCTGGAGGGACTCGACTGGTGCAACGCTGGATGGCTGGAGGACGGCTCGGTCCAGTACCCGATCTCTCATCCCAGAGACCAGTGCGGCCGCAAGGAAAACCCCGCCGGCGTGCGTAACTACGGCTACCGGCACAAGGAGGATGAGCGCTACGATGCCTTCTGCTTCACCTCCAAGCTCAACGGTGAGAAACAGGCGAGCCGGCCACAGACGTGTCCGCTGCAAGATCCCAACCACAAACGTCCAACCGAGTGTGTGCGGCGTCGTGGGGGCTGACGAGGGGTACCGTGTAGAAAAGGGGGGGCATCGTGAGTGTCGCACGGCGGGGAAAACGATAGTCCCGGCCTCTGACCTCTCGGGCCAGCGGATTCGGATCAGGCCTCGTTGGTTGGCAGCGTCTTCTGGCTTCCAAGCGCCGGCTTTCATCCCCCCGGTTCTTTGATTTAGACCCCCCCCCCCTCACACACCTCCAGGTTCATAAGATCAGAAAAACCTTTGGGAAGTCAGCGGCTGGATGCTTCAATTGAATCTGTGGTCGAGCACGTGTGAGGAGACGAAGGAGTAATAAAAGAGTTGGAAATATTCTCATTTTTTTATGCATTAGAACATTATTACATTAATTATGTGTTATGATCTGTAACGATACAGTTAAGAAATCATGTAATTTCTGCTACTTGACTGAGATAATTTGATCTGTCCTTTCAACCTGGACAAAAAGCACCTCTTTGCTCTCGACATGAAAGCAAATATTTCCTCACAACTCCTTTTAAAAATTGACCAATTAGCCAAAACATACAGTCAACCGTCTTTAAAAAAAAAAAATCAGTTTTCAGAAATACATTAAATAAATCCTGCAGGAGCCTCTTTGAAGCTTGAAAGAGAATTGAAAACTTCTCATGCATTATGAAAAGCAAAAGTTTTCTTTTTAAATGATTTAGATAAAAGCCGAGGCTCCACAGTAAATCATAAACCATTTCGGGACGGTCCGTCCAAACCGGAACAAAGAAGCACTGCCAGTGCTTTTACTTGGCGAGAAACGTGAACAGAGCGAGCCAGGAACCTTAAACGGTTGCTCTCGGCTTCCCCTGTGTGTTAATTACTGCGGACGGTCTGTTGTGGGCAGGAGGTTTCAGCTGTGGTCGTGACCGATGCTGTTGCTCGGTCCAGCTGGAAGGTATTTACCCGGCGTCCCCGGGGGGGGGAAATGTGAGACAATATTCTGCCTCTCTAATAGCCGGCGGTCACACAGGCCGGCGTGGAATCGATAGCCGAGCCGAGTGCAGACCTGATGGGTTGGAAGAAGCAGCCCAACCTCTTTCTCTCTCTGTGAGTTTCGTTGTTTCTTCCTCAGACGAAGCTCAACTCGCGATCCGGTTCGGTTTGAAAAAACGATTCGTCCAATCAGGACGGCGGGTTGGACGACAAAGCGTCCCCAGGAGGACAGATGAAAGCGAAGACGGGATCGTTTTTCAGGAGTAATTATGAGTGAGAGCGTATTGGCTTCGGATTGCGAGGAGCTGCCCGGACGGTTTGTGTAACGATTTGATATTCCGAGCGCAGTCAGACGAGAGAAGAACGTCTTCCGCTCAAAGCTCGGCTCGTCTCCCCCCTCCCACTCCCCCCCGGGGCCTTCGCTCTCTCTCCTTCCCTCCCGTCTCCTTCTTCCCTTTCAGCCCTCACGAACACCACCCCCCCCCCCTTCATGTCCCCTGCAGGCAATAGTGTACTTCCTGAAACGCTTCAAGAAGGTGAACTACGACGGAGGCGACTGAAGGCCTGCGCTCGAGACGGCTCGGCGGCGGGCCAAGGTGGGTCAGCTGTACGCCGCGTGGAAGTTCCAGCTCCTGGACCGCTGCGAGGCAGGCTGGCTGGAGGACGGCAGCGTGCGTTACCCCGTGGTCAACCCCCCGCTCCCGCTGCGGGGGCGCCCAGCCGGGCGTCCGACACCTGGGCTTCCCCGATTAAAAAGTTCCCGCCTCTACGGCGTCTACTGCTTCCGCGGGAACAATGGAGGAGCCAGCAGGGGGCAGTGAGACGACGACGGGCCTCGCCGGTACTTTTGGCGTGGAGGAAGGGCGGCGGCGGCGGCGGCGTGCCCGGGAACGACACCGCCGGGATTTGACAGTGGAGGGGGGCGGGGGGTGAGAGAGAGGGGGGAGTGGTCTTCGGTCTCTCCACGTGCTGATTGGTCGGCTGTCAGAAAGGCGCTTTTTAAGCAGCAGGCTGCATGTAAAAAAAAAAGACCTCCGGTCACAAAGACGACAACCAGCAGCCACACGTCACATTCGTCAGCCATGAGGTCCGTGTTCACGGGTGCGTGTGCGTGGATGGTGAGTTGGAGGCGGAAACTGTAATGAAATATAAATATAAATAAGTTCCGTAAGCGCCTGTGTGCGTGTAGCTCATTAACTAAGACCCGGAGTCTCACAGCCAGAGCTGCACCTCTAGTAAACATTGCACTAGTTCTACATTGTGACAGCACCTCAGACTGAAGAGAGCATGCGTTGCTTGGCTGACAGAAGCAAAAGCTGCAATAATTGCTTTTACCTGCACTTACTGCACTTCGTCTACGCGGGTCACCAAATGCAACACGCGCAGCAACGTGGATCTCCGTCCGTCTGCCGCTGCACAACGGATGAATGTTCTTGAGAAAAGCAAATAAAAGTCTTGTTTGGATGCAGTTTATTTTTGCCTCTATGTGAAGTGATGTCGTAACGGTGGAGAGATTAGAAAATGAGAAATATAGCAGATCCAAACACACTTTGCTGACTGAAATTATCTATTGGAAGAAAATAGAATACGTGGTTATCAAACCTAACAATTTAAGTTATTGTAAAATAATTACTGTAATATTCCTTGTGATAATCTGCAGTAACCGTAGTTGAGAAGCACTGCTATAAGTGGTTATGTGAGCTACATGTTAAACATCTGGATACTCTGGTAGCCTGTTAGCATGCTAACGTTTGCTAATTGGCATTAAACACAAAGTTCAGTCGAGGGTGACGGGAATGTGAAAACAGGTTTTCTTGTAAAGGTATGTGGTGCTAAAAGTGAACAAATGAAGAGATTCATTGAAGACGGTTTTTGAGAGACAGAAATGGAACATGAGTAACAAACAAACACATGTTACTAAGAGAAAAATAACAAAAAAAAATAGCAGAAAATATAAAGAAGCTCATAAAAGTGAACAATGTTGAAGATAAAAATATGAATAATGTATCGGATCGTTCCGTTTTAATGCTGCAGCGGACTCGATTCCGCAAAGAGAGAAAATGAAAGCAGCTGCTTCCTTTTCCCCGAGAAGGAGACGAGCAGCTTGTCGCCCTGCAGCTCCTCATCCGACCGCTCGCCACGCCTGCTTCCTCTTCCATTACCACCAGAAATGTTTCAATCAGCAGAGACAGACCTTAGACGCAGAAAGATATTTGTTTATTATTAGCGCCGATGATGGAAGTCTTTGTCGATTAGACTGTGACAGGTAGACAGGCGACTTCACAGAGACCACCTCCACATGTCACCGGTTGCCTCAATAAGCGCAGCACAACGTTAATAATGAAATGCTTTTAGGAGGAAACTCCCGAGTTTACTCGTCTGGAAGAGACGGATTTAGATTGAAAATACCTTCACGACACTTTTCTGCCGCGTGAAGAGTCACGACTTTGTAAACCTGCTGAGCGACGGACGACGTGTCGGAAAGCTGCTGAGGGCTGAAGCCATGTCATCGTCATAGCAACTGGCAGCATGCGCTCAAGAGCCCAACGGCGGGACGTGATGGGGACGAAGCATGACCTTTAAAATGAAACAATAACGTTAAACGAATCACAGACGTCGAGTCGATGAATTTGTAATCCTGCATCAGATGAAAGATTCTCTGAAACGACGCTGGTGTTCGTAACGTTCTCGCCAGTTCACCGGCCCTGCTGGGGGGAACCAGGGGCCACTGGGGGAATAAGAAGCCCCGCTTGATTCACCACGACATTCATAATTCATGGAGGATCAAGAATGCTGCGTTTGAAGTCATTTAGATGCTTTTCGATCTCGTCTTTTGGTCCCTTTGCGCGTAAGAGCAAGGTCATCGCAAACAGCCCGCCGACACCACCTCGCCGACTTCCGTTCCGTTCCCAGAGTGACACGTGGCGGCGCGTTGGACCGGCGGAGTGCAAACCGAACAGACGGTGAGCTCAACAGGCCCGGCGTTAGAAAGGCCCTCGCGAGGCACGAGATTAGGGCGCCGCCGGCCTTGATTAAAGCTCCCTCGCGCTCCCTTCTGTCACCGGGCGAGCGAGGGAAGCCGGCGCCACGACGCCTGCTTGCATTTCCGTCCCCGTCGTGGTGCTGATGGTGCACCTGGTTCGATTTGTTCATTCCCGCGTGGCTCGAAACGACACCTCGGTCCCCACTCCCCCCCTTTGAGCGCTTTCACGGCAGATGTTTCAACTCGTCACAGCGGGGGAAGTCACAGGTTCGACGGCGGCTTCGGGGCCCGTCGGTGGGACGAGCGAGCGATCCGTCGCACCTGTGCAGCGAGACGAGACGAGGCGTGAAAACACCTGGTCTCCCAGAGCTTTTAACAACGTCACACCGCCGAGATCCTGTTCCGTGATTACTGTGAAAGTGCTTCCCACCGAAAGCCGCGGTGTCGGCGTGACCCCCCTCCGCCTGCTCTCTGCACTCAGACCCCCGCGCAGACGGACTCGAGTTTCCCTGAACCCGGGTTCGTTTTTCACACCGACCCACTTTTTAAATCGCGTGCACGTGAACCCAGCGAATCCGATTGACTCCGCTGCAGTACATCGCCCACGCCTGCTGGTGGCGCTTTAAGGTGCTACAGACAACTGAAAAAAAACGGAAGGAGAAGACAGGAGCATGCGGTTGCATGCAATCACGTGGGGCAATCCGATCAGGCATGCGGATAGCGTGCAGACGAACACCAACAGCGATCGGATTTCGCGTTTACTCACTTTGGACCCCCCAGTGCGGACACGGAGCGCGGATACAGTGCGTTCGTCTGCACGATAGCGCTATCCGGAGACGGGGTTACACTGGGGTCCGTCTGCACGGGGGGTCTCAGCATCCACCCGGTGGCCCAGTGGAGCGATCGAACCCACGAGGGAACCAAGGGGACGGAAAAGACGCTTCGTGGAGCTTCTGTCTTAGATTCTGTCCAACTGTGCAACATACCAAAGTGTGCATTCCTTCATAGCGGGTTTGCTGCATTGCAAGTTGTTGTCTTGTTATTCCAACGTACGTGTCCATTCTAACGAGTTAAACGTGCTGATTGCAGCCCAACATGAAGAATTCGGCTTTACTTTGCATCATGATGACGCGATGGAACACACAAACACACCAATTCCCAACGGCGTTAATGCCTCGCGCACTGGAAAGGGTTGTTTTGTGGTGACGGGTAATCTGGCCAAAATGTGAGAGGTTTCCCCCCGAGTGCGGAGCGTGTTAAACAGGCAGCGGCGTCGAGTTAATCGAAAGTGTTAACCGCCTAGTAGACAGCACCGTGGCCGATGAGCAGCGGCGTCCGCCCCCGTCGTCCACCGATGCCTCCGTTTTTTAACCGCCTCCGTCTTCCTGGCAGCTCGCCTCTCCGGTAGCGAGCTGCCAGGCTGGTTCACTCTCAGCAATGCCTGGTCTGGTTGAAAGAGAATAGTGGGAGGTAAATAAAAGAGTTGAAACCTTTCTATCAGCGTGTGTGTGTGTGTGTGTGTGTGTGTGTGTGTGTGTGTGTGTGAGAGAAGAGAGAAGAGAAGAAGAAAAGGAAACCGCCTCAGCAAAAAAGACAACAACACAAAGTCATGGGGAAGGACGTGGTGAAAAGGCGTCCAGGGGAAAGCGCCGCAGAGAGTGAGACGTGTGGAGGAGAGAGATGGTGGAGGAGAGAGATGGTGGAGGAGAGAGATGGTGGAGGAGAGATGGTGGAGGAGAGAGATGGTGGAGGAGAGAGATGGTGAAGGAGAGAGATGGTGGAGGCGAGAGATGGTGGAGGAGAGAGATGGTGGAGGAGAGAGATGGTGGAGGAGAGAGATGAAGGCAGAAAGATAAGAGGGGAACGGGGGGGTCAGAATGTGGGGGAACGCAGGTCTGAAGGGGATCCGGCTTTGCCAAGTCCCTCCTAGAGAGTCACAACAGGCTGAACCTTATCTCACCTTCTCCTCGCCCCCCCGTCTCCCCCCCTCCCAACACCTCCAATTCACTTAGTGGCTTTGGGCACTTTCACATTTTAAGGAACTTGGAGCGACTTCCCAGAGGAAGGAAACTTCTGACCTTAAGAACTGCCGAGATCTTTCTGTGTTGGGGGGACGCTAAAGCTGCCCGTTTAAGGGCCCCGTCGCTCGTCTTTCTCTTTGAATATTTCATGAGCTCATTAGGACACCGGCGCCGCGCCGCCGTTTGCTTTATACACACTATAACCTCAGAGTCCGCAGAGCGCCGGGTAGTCTGGGGGACAGTTCTGAGAATGCAGAGAGCGGATTAAAGCAGTCGAGGTGTAGGACCAAGACCCTCACAGTAAAGAATCAATACCGCTGTGCACGCTGGCCAAATGCTCTGCAATCAGGTGATACAACGGACTACAAGACCGTCCCCTTTTCAAAATAAGCGACAAATAAATCAACGGTAAATCTCTGCTGACATACGGTGTTTGGGTCGGGGACTTTTTTAGAATTTTTTTAGGCCAAATACCAAAATATTCACTTTCTGTTCCGGAACTGATCTTATAAAGTTTACTGAGGGAATTAATAACGAGAGAAGCAGATATTTTCTCATAGACCTATACACCCCCCCACAGATACCCCAGTTTAAGGCCCGTCTGGCATCGGTTTGGGTTTCAGAACCGGAGGTGTGTGAGAGAGGGTATCTATGTAAGTTGCTACTCCACACATATAGTAAATGCACTTAGTTACAGCAGCTTATTAAAGCCCGATTTCCTAATCGTCGTAGGTTTGGGGTCATTTAACAAAACACTGCACAGTGTACACACAGCCGGCAGGCCGACAGTGTATGAAAGACCTGGCTCACGCTGATATTTGTGCTGGCTTTGGTCCTCAGGTCTGACTCATGGACACACACACACGCACAGACACACACAGGCGATTGTAAAATAAGCCGTTAGTGAGCCGAGGCGGCGCCATCTGCAGCCGTCATCAGACGACGGACGTGGATGCGGATTCATGGGTGAAGCTATTCCACAACCTGGCCAGCAATAAAGACGAGGAAGATAAACAGGGTTAAGCTGCACATTAATCTTTTACTTTTAATTTGCATAAGTGGTGTGGAGACGGAGAAAAGGGTCCTTTGCCCGCAGCGTTTTGTGTTTGTGCGTGAGATAAACGCCGGGAGGCGGCGCGGCTTCGGGGTTAAACAACACACTGTCAGGCGTGAGATGACGCTAAACCCCGTGTTGATTTTCATAATCTTCTTGAACTTTGGCAGCGTCACTGGGAGATAATGCAGGATAATACCAGAGATCCCCATTGATTGGCCAGATGGAGCCGACATCGACCCGAGAACAAGGTTACGATGAGCTTGTCTTTCTGTACCTCTGATTTATCTCCTCTTCGAAAAACAAAACAGCATCAGCACGACGCCGGAGTGCAAATAGTTTGTTGTCGCGCTATTGGTTATCATGAGAAAGACGCATGGGCGCTTATGTCGGCTTAACGGGAACGTGTCATTGCTGCCTAATAGCAAAAGGCTAACTCGTTAGCATGAAGGATAAGTTCAACTCCGTAGCACAAAAGCTAACACAGAAGTATAAATGATAGCTTAGTAGCATAAGGATAAGCCAGTAGCTCAAAGGCTAATACATAAAATACATCGCAGCGGCGCAAAGTACCACTTAGCACGAAGGCTAACCCAGAAGACGCACGCACTGAGCCAAAGAATGAAAGAGCTTGTGTTTTCATGCTTTATTTATCCTTATATCACAAAAGAAAAGCCAAGGGGCAGCTCGAGGAGTGGAGTGGGGGGGGGGGGGGGGCTTCTTGTGGGGGGGGGCAGTTGCTCTCAGGGTCCCTGAAGCAACTTGTTTCCAAAAGGCCCGCCGTCGTTGTCATTTTGTGGCTGCGACAAATCTGCGACTTCTGCGGCAGCGACAAAAATGAGAGCCGAAGGTCATTTTCAGCCGTGAATTCTTTAAAGAAACTAATGAGCGCTTTCGTTGGAACTCACCGAACGGAGCGAAAAAACATCACTCAGCCCGCCGAGAAAGAGTCGCTATATTCAGGGTGATTGATCGTCGCCGGGGTGCAGAACCCGGCAGTGTGGCTTCTTTCCGGTGTTTTGGAATAATAATGAAATGAGTGAGTCACATATCAGACGGGAGAGAGAGAGAGAGAGAGAGAGAGACAACAGAGAGTTGTGCTTTTCTTACAGGAGACGGTGCTGAGAGGCGATGGAACCAGGCACCGAGAAGAGAGGCCTCTCACACTCGGCTCCTCAGAAGGAGGTTCAGGTGAAGCGAAGGTCTCCGAGGTGGAGCTGCACCAACAGTTCACCAACAGTTTGCTGCCAAGACAGAGTCTCTCTCTTACTTTGCGCCCTCCTCCCTCCTACTTTTGATCCGCTTCTCTCGGTCTGTCTCCTCCTGCCTCTCCTGCTCTGCCTCCCACACTTTCCCGCTGAGGGATTCGCCCTCAGCGACCTGCGCTGTTGCTTAAACTATGTGCAGAAGATTTAGAACATATTAAAAAAGTCATATTCATGCTATTGACATCTTGGCTGCGGAGAAATGTTTTACCCAATTCTAATAGATGCAAATGCATCTTGCGAGCACGTGAAGGTCAGCGAGGAGCAGATTGTTCTCCGGCAGCTCGGAGACAAACTGAATATCTCACGAGAGGAAGAACGAGGTTGAATGTGTGTTAGTTAGGAACATTGTTATTGTGTTTCTAAATAGTTCTTTTCAGCTTTCAATGTGAATGTTCGATGTGTGAAAATCTCATATCTGTGCAAGAAAGAGAGAAAAGGTTCCGAGCGCTCAGATGTAAACGAAGGTTTGGTTCGGTTTGAACACAATTTATTCCTTCTGATATCACAATTAAATCAATTCAGTCAATATTCTTTCAGAATGGTTTTTACAGCTTTCCTTTCATTTGAATATTTGAAGTCATGTGCGATGCTGAGGTGTGCTTTAAAGTCTCACTTCGCGGCAGCTATTTACAGCATTGTGACATCACTGGTGGGCGTGGCTAAAGGTGCCATGGCAACTCAAAAAAAAGTTTCCATTCATCCCAAAAGATGTTTTTTTTTTCCATTTTGGGATATATTGAATCTTATTTCATTCAATTTATTCATCTATATTGTACTGAATTAGATGTGATTATGGTTTGATTTATTGTGTTATGACTATTTATCACTTGTTGTTAAGTTGAGTACAATGTGTAAACATTATGTCATATGTCTACTTTGTTAAGCACTTTGCAGGTATAAAAGTTATTGTAGCAACCAGAAATTCACCATTGTCTCATTTTTCTACCAAAAAAAACACAACAATTGTATTTCATATGTGTAATTTAAAGGAAGGTTTACTCACACAACACCAAATCAATACGAATAATCACCCCAACAAAGACAGTCGACGGACCCAAACGAGGGTTTCCTTTAATGATCATTTGTCATGTAAAGAATATAATACAATGACTGGACTGGAAGGCATAAGAACACTCATCACTCGGTATGGATAAATACTCGCGGACCTCAATAACACGCCTGCAGACGAAGAGCCGGATGGTTAAGGATCAACTGGCTTCTGCTGCAAAAAGAAAGAAGAAGCAAAAGAGTGCGAGAGCAGAAGGGAGGAAGTGGAAGGAGGGAAGATGTGTTTTTGTATCCGCTGAGGTCCAGAGAGCAACAAACACACACGGTCTAAATGCAACGAGAGAAGAGGAGAGTATCTACATCACAGAGAAGAAGAAATGTTCGTCAATGAGCCTCTTTCGGACTTTTTGGAAAAACGTCTGATGAGGCAGCGGTGCGAAACATGCAGAGCCAGCGGAGCGCTGAGAGTCCGTTTCCCGCCTCGTCTGAGGGAAAAAACGTCCGGCGGTCATCGCGCCGTCGATGGCGTCGACGGCCCTAATGGGGAACCTAAGGCGGACGGCCTGAAATAGTCCGTCCGTCTGTCTGTCTGAGGACGACTGGGAGGGAAGCGGACACACTAGACCTCGGAGTAGGAGACGTGTATCTTGTGACGTTTCAAAATCCAAACAGAGAAGCAGAAACGTGAGCAGGATGGCGTCTGATTCCAGCATCTTCTCCCCCTCAGCAGACTAAACTAAAAGAAGGCTTTGCTCAAACGAACGCTTTCACCCAGGAGACCCGTTTGTGTCCTTATTTTAGCGTACTTTTCTCCACGTTTTCTCCAACCGATCAGTGTCGTCGTTATTTAACCCGAGTCACAGCCAGCGGAGGCCGCAGAGCTCCGCCGAGCCACGACGAGCCACGACGCCACTCGTTCCTCACAATTAAGGCTCACAGTAATGAGGCTTCGTCTCAGGCCTATCTGCCCTCGGGGGGCTTCCAGCAGAAGAGGAACAACGAGGGGAAGAGGGAGAGCCGAGCGAGCCGAGCAGATCAAAAGGAGGAGTCAAAAGCAAAGTGCGAGGGGTCAACGCGTTTGAAGTCTTAGAGGGGAAGAATGTGATAAAAATGAATCCAATACTGGAAGCCACATGTGAGGCTGTGAGGAAGTATGGCCCCTTCAAAGGAGAGAGAGAGAGAGAGAGAGAGAGAGAGAGAGAACACACACACACACACACACACACACACACACAGACCTCAGCAGGCTGTTATTACTTTGGACTTCTCTGCGACAGGAATCTAACTCCTCAAAACTTCAATGAACAACCGAGAAGAATTAATACCAGCGGGATGTCCGACTCATTCAGGAAGAAAGCAGCACAAACAAACAAAGAGAAAGGAAGAAGGAACAGCAGATCGGTGGAACTGATCATCTTCTGACCTCCACACGCATGATTTCCTCGTATGTGTTTGGCTTCCGCTGCGCTCTGAACGTTTTAGGCTCAACCTGGGAAATCCATTTCCAGGATTGGGTCGTTTTACTAAATGGAGGCTGGCTTGTTAGCTCGCTAGCTACCTAGCTAGCTTGCTAATTCCACCATTGCTACACTGGTTGAAGCGGTTGAAGGCGCCATCACTCCCCAGGAGGCCGACGCGCTGCTTCCGACTCAATTAATGAAGTCTTCTTTTTCTTTCTCGTGCTCTCGGCTCTTCAGTTCCTCTCTTCATCATTTCGGGGAAAGTTTTTAAACTCCCGTCACACGGCTGAACTTTCACACGGCTGTAATTACGCTGTCGCTGGACATCAACTCCGAATTGGATTCGGCGGCGGTCCTCTGATCTGTGCTTTTCCCTTTTTATTCATGCACCTTGCACTCGATCCGTCTTCCCCCGGACAGATCGAAAGAGACGGGGGCCGCCGAGATGTGAGACGCGACAGGGTTTTGACAGCTGAGACAGTTCTCCGGGTCCCCGCGTCCGTCACCCCGGACCTGCCACCGTGCCGCCCGTCAGCCTGGAACCTCGCCGCGGCGTCGCGGCGCCGCAGATAACGCAACTTGTTAATTAGGCACGCGGGAGATTAATTAAACTGATACAGAGGTGTGGGTTCACTTTCTGCGCGTGTTGTCATTGCCAAGGTGAGAGGACACAAACACAGGCAGAGAATTAGGGTGCAGAGGATGGATCCTCCTACCTCACGTGGCTTTATACAACCCCATTGTACTTAAGTGGTGGTTTTGAGGCTGCCGGAGCTCCTTCAGTACTTAAATTAATAAAAATAAAAAAAGAAGAGAGCGACGGCGAGAAGCACCGAGGAGGGAGGAGGTGATGGGAGACGGAGCGAGAACCTACAGAGGGGAAACGTAACGGATGAAACCTCGCCAGTGTCGGCTTAAAACAAACAAACACCACTTTAAGCAGTGAAAGGGAGAGAAAAGAGAGAAAATGGCTCCTTCCATCCGCCTGAAAACCCCCCCGAGAGCCGAACACGGCGAAGACTCAGAGGCCTTAATCTCTGCCGACCCCGAGATGAGAGAGCCCCCCCCCCCCCCCCCCCTCCTGTCTTAAAATGCTTCTTCTTTGTTGTTGTGATCGAGTCTGAATCCAAAACCACCCGTCGGCTCAAAGTGGTCGAGGCCAATTTATTACCTCCATGGTCCGCTAATGAGGTCAAGCGATATTTTATGTGCCATAATTTATTGAAAAGGTCGAGTTTAGCGATTGAACAAAACATCAAAGACACAAAACTACAAGGAAAGACAAAGCGGACGTGGGATTGCCGAGGCGAGGACGGGCTTTGCTCTCCTGGATGAAGGGACGGATGTCTGTTTGAGACGGTTTGACACAAAAGTGACTGACGGGTGACGTGATGAAATGTCGTGGGGGGGGTTTTTCTTCACATTTCTCCTGTTTTTTTTTTCTCTTTTCTTTTTTTTCGTATCTGATCTAAAGTAACTCACAATGACAAGAAGATACAACGCTAACAATCAAATAGTTCAATTACAACAAAAAATCAATCAAACCTGTTTGAGAATAAGTCGCGTTAAAGTCAAGTACAGTGTCTTATAAAAAAGCAAAACCAAACAAATAAACACAGAGTGTTTGTAGAAAATAAAGTAATAAAAGGCTCAAGTCAACAACACGGACTTTCAGTCACGTCGTCTCTTCTCGTGGTTTGTTCTCCCCGAAACGGCGTCCGGCGTGGATCTCAAGTTCTCTCTGTCAGGTCGGCGTAGCCCCGTGTTTCAGGTGGTTGTTGAGCTCGGAGGGAGGTGTGGTGGGGGGGGGGGGGGGGGGGACAGGTTGTCCCGGGGACACCTGGCCTACGGCGTTATGGTACAGACTGACTCGTGGGAGCCAGGGGGCGGGGCTACGGGTGGGGCGTGGCTAAGGACAGAGGCGGGGCCTCGGGCTGAGAGTTTTGAGTTGTAAGCTGTCAAAGTGGGAGTTTCGAGGGGGGGGGGGGGCGACGAGGAGTGGAGAGGGACGGGGGAGGGGGGGGGGACAGGAAGTTGGCAGCGGAGGAAAGGACGGGGGGGAAAAGAGGGCGTTTATCATTATTTTCTCTTCTTTTTTGGTTCAGACGTGGGCGTGGCTGTGGCCCAGCTCCCCTCCGTGGCGCCCCCCCTCTCTGTGGCCGTGCCTCTTGTGCTTCCTGCGCTCCCTCCGGCCCTTGTGGTGGTGGCGCCGGTAGCGGTGGGCCCGTCGGGCTGGTGGAGCAAAAGGAGGCGGAGCAGACAGACAAGGAGAGCGTTTAGGACATTTATCAGAGACGCGGGGAAGGAAAAACGGACGTAAGAGGGCAACGAATGAGTGACGCGCGTCAGCAGCGCCGAGGCGGAGGGTCGGAGGTTAAAACCGGGCAAGAGGCGGGGCGAGGAAAGGTGTTGCTGTGTGTCCACCTCCCTGAGGGGGACTTTTAAATCTCACATCCGGGAGCTAACCAGCCGCTCGGCGCCTCGGAAGCTCCTTCCTGGGGAGGACTCTGTGCCAACAAAGACGTGTCATCCGCTGTGAATGATGAGGACGCTGTGACTCTGAGCCGTAAAAAACAACTCGCTCCAAAGTCGAAAGGAAAATCAGTTTTTATCACTTTCAACCGAGGCTACATTATTTCAATATTTCACCATTACTGTCACATTGTGATCTGAGTGAAATGAAATACAAGGCACAGTTTGTTGAATATGTATATATATCAACCCTTTTATATCTCCTTTGAAGTGGAAAGTAATTATTCTGAAACGTTAAGACGTTCATGCAGTCCCTTACAATCATTATTGGGAGAAATAAAGTTTATTTTAAGGCTCAAAGAAGATAATGCTTTTGAATAATGGTTCCTACTAAAAGACTGTTGTCATTGATTCTGGATGCTTGACTGTGTTGGAATAAGAGGAAGGAATTCATCATTTTCAATAGTGTTCTGCTGCAGAGCTCCAGGTGGAGAAATCACACACACATGTGATATAACATCATCTAAGATGTGTGTTAAGGTGGAATGTCACACATGTGTGTTAAGGTGGAATATCACATGTGGGTTAAGGTGGAATATCACATGTATGTTAAGGTGGAATATCACATGTGTGTTAAGGTGGAATATCACATGTGTGTTAAGGCGGAATATCACACGTGTGTTAAGGTGGAATATCACATGTGTGTTAAGGCGGGATATCACGTGTGTTAAGGTGGAATATCACAGCGTGTTAAGGTGGAATATCACATGTGTGTTAAGGCGGAATATCACACGTGTGTTAAGGTGGAATATCACACATGTGTTAAGGTGGAATATCACATGTGTGTTAAGGTGGAATATCACATGTGTGTTAAGGCGGAATATCACACGTGTGTTAAGGTGGAATATCACACATGTGTTAAGGTGGAATATCACATGTGTGTTAAGGCGGGATATCACGTGTGTTAAGGTGGAATATCACAGCGTGTGTTAAGGTGGAATATCACACATGTGTTAAGGTCCTTTAGCTTGGAGTTACTTTGACACCTAGTTATTGGACAGTTAGTAGTTGGACAACATTAGAAAGTTTTAGCACCAAACAAATATATTAGCTATGCTAATGTTGTTAGCTGAAAGTTATCATTTCAGACCAAAGCCTGAAGCTTTGCAGCGAGACGACTGTTCTCCCAAATTGACCCCGTTTAAGAACCTGATGATATTTGCTGCACTGGTTTATTCTTTATACGCTGAAGCAATTGTGTGATACAAAATCTAAAGGTCACATTTCACTTTGGTTCCTTTGTATCTAATAACTGGTCCACAAAAACAAAATGTTTTGAAAGGTCTGAAAAGAAGACCTCCACCTGGAGCGCGATGCATGTCAAAGGCCCCCCCCACCTCCTGAGTAAAGCCCAGGAGATTTCACTCAGTCGGCAACCACAGTCATCGTATTGCCTCCAATTATTAATAATGAGAGCAGCGGTTCAGCGAGGCGGAGCGCGCACAAAGACAGCGGGTCCCGACGGCACGTGATGCAGGAGGCTGGTGTGGGCGACCCACGGGGGTGTGCAGGCTAAGAATAACAAAATGCAAATGTGACAATGACCCAACACATGGAAATGCTGCTGACGACGCGCGAGAACTCACATTTTATGCAGATGATTTTAGGCCGGTCCCACTTGCCGTTGGCGCGACACTTGGCGGTGGGCACGTGGCGCTGCAGGAAGCCGTCGGCGCACTGGTAGCGAGCCACGGAGTGGATGTCGTAGTGGGAGCGCTGACGACCAATCAGGAAGGCGTTGTCCACGGTGGGCGGGGCTCCACAAAGCACTGTGGAGGCAGGAGAACACATCTGTGACGTCATAACCCTTTTCTGTACGAGTGATTAAAGCACGTCTATCTGCTTGTGATTTCAACGCGTGTTGTGGTTTTAAGCCGCTGACAGCGTGTCGCAAACGGCCAGCGAGCGCGTGGGCGGCTGTCAAAGCAACACAGCGTCTCAGAGTCCCCCCCAAAAATGTCCTCACAAGCAGACATGGAGCGAAGGAATGACAGCAACTGACAGGGTGGACGAGCCTCGGGGACGACTGCACGGATACTTTGACTCTGCTGTCAGCGGGGGGGGGCGTTCTTATCTTTCATCACCATTTCATGCTTTGGGTAATAATCTTTACCTCCAGGTGTTTCTTACATCCTTATGACAAAAATCTCTTTATTAAGAAAATCTAAAAGATTCTTTTTCAATTTGAATGGAAAATAAAAAAGTGCGTGTTTCTTTTCTTGTTTTTCTCCCTTCAGTTTCTATGGAAACTGCAAAAAAGAGATGCTGAACTCGGCCGGTCTTCTGCAGGGAGCTCGAGAGGAAGAAAAGCTTCTTCAGATTTGGGATTTCACTGATGTGTTTGTTTGATGAGTATTGATAATCAAATTCAACTACCCACTGAATGTGTGTGAGCCTGGTTTACTCGCCGTAGTCAAGCGTCACCTCTGAATGTCTTAACTTGGCACAGAAGCACTAATTAAATTAATACATCTAGTCATTAATCAAAGAAGGCCTCTTTGTTTTGAGGTCTTTTGACCTAAATTTGAGTAAATATTATAAAAGCCAAATCAAATTGTTTTCACAGTTTATTCAAGCGTTGCCTCTTTATGACGCATTCGACACTTGGCTGCTTCCACCAAAGGGAAGAAGAGAAGTGATCCCTGCGTTGGAGCTACGAGTTTGCGCATCGTGGAGGCTGTTTTTCGTGGCGCTCTGCCGGTTGCACTCGTTGTCTTTCTGATTCTTCACAGTTCATTTTGTCGGACGCCCTCCGGCGTTTTTTTTCTAAATGATGCAACGAGCACGAACGCCTCCGCGCGTCCTCGCAGCGTCTCACCGGCCGAGCTTCGGAGCCGGACGGCGGTCTGGAGGTTTAAAGGCGGCGGAAACGTCTTTGTGTGCTGCTGAGTTCACTGGTACTGCAAAACGTACCCAAATATTCTGCCATTATAAAAGAAAAAACACTTGCACACTTTATTAGTACGTCTAGCAGGCGTCTCAATGAGAGGCTACGGGTTCAAGCTAATGTTAGCTAGCGCTCACCAGAAGCTAACAATCAAAGTAGCCAATGAACGACACAAACCTTTGATTGGTATAAAGGAACATTTAAAATGTTTTAATAATTCAACTTCTTTTCTCATTTTAAATTGGCACTTTTGCTGCGGCCTCGTTCCAGTTTGGAGATATTTATACATCTTTGCTGCCCCCAATTCAGGGTATCTTTAGCCGACAGCGTTCTTCAGAGGCCCTCAGAAAATGTTTACAGATCCTGTTAATTCCCTTGTCCTTGTCCTAATACCTCTTAAACTCCTAATAAGCGAAAAGCAATGCCATTAACTCTGATTAACAGGTTTAATGCCACATTTATAGTTTAATGTTGTGGAAGGAAAAGGGCAAAAAGCACTTTGCTCCTCACTTGAGACGATCGCTCACTGGACGCAGGTGGAAGGATGAAAGGTGCTTTTCTATTATCCCGCACGTGAACGCCTTCAATCACACACCGCATTGATGTAGGATTAAAAGAAAATGTCACTAAACTTGGGAAAAGTAAATGGAGACGGGACTTTATGTGACAAGCTTTGAGTCAGAAACGGTTTTTTATAGATTAAAGCCAGAAGGATGAATTGGGCGGCTGCCGAGGAAGGAACTCTTTTAAGGTAACCTTTGAAATAAAAGTAAGATCGGTAAACCTGACCGTTATATAATATTCAGCCACTCCTGACACCTCTAAGGCCACATTTATGCTTAAATAATTACGATATTCAAATGAAATGCTTTTTGTGTACAAACAGATTTAAGAAAAAAAGTTCTTTAAACTGCGGCTGATGACAAAGCTTCAACAATCAATTCTCACACACGAGCACACACACACACACACACACACACACACACACACACACACACACACACACACACACCCACAAGAGGGTGGGGGGGGGTCTGAGGAGAAGTCGGTGCCAAGAGGAGGACCTTCATCTCCTCTTCGTGGTGGTGGTGACATCTGGAGAGTTCTGATCTAAACTGCTTCAGGGCGTCGTGCACAAGACAAACCGAGCAGCTCTATGCAGAAATATACAAACGAATAAAAAGCATTTCCCTTCCCCCGTTCAGGACAAATGAGGCTCCAAAGCCACACAACGTGTGTCCTGCAATGAATACATTACACGCCGACGGACACATCACGTGCTAAAGATGTGAAGACAGCTCATCATCTCCCAAAGCAGTCAGTGCGCGCTGAGGATGACACGCAAAATTAGACTTCCTGTCTCTGTGCATAATAACCCATCAAAATAAATGGAGCAATTTAATAATACTTGCATGTCCTGTCCCGTTCCACAGGAGTAGCTCACCGGCAGCCAGAGAGTACGTGGCTCCCTAGTTACTAGAGTCCAAATAACAGCTCTGTGCTACTTTAGTTCCATGAAACGATGTCCACCAGGGGGCGACACCTCAGGTCCTGAAGAACTCCACGAGAAAATGACTGATACTTCTCTCTTGAATTGGAAGGAGGGGCGGCGGGGAGAAGATGAATAGAAAGTTGCAGCTGATTGCAGCTGACTGATTAAGGCCGGATGCCGGGGACTCGTGACGGTTGAGCCTCGGAGGTGGTGCAACTCCTCCCCCGGTGGGGGAAACAGCTTCTCCCCCCCTTCGTAGGGAGGAGAGCTGGTTGCCCGAGGCTCGAGAGGCGCTCTCTCTCTCTACGCTCGGGGCCTGCGACCGCGAAAGCGTCTGTTGGAACACAAATAACTTGCTTAAAATGACGTGTTGCCTTTGAGGCTTTTACGTTAAGCCTCCTCTTGTATTCGGTGAGAAGCTGATCAGTTCTGCGTACGAGAGAGTCGAACGCCTCCAAAGGCTGAGATCCAAACGTCACGAAACTAGAGATTTATTTTATTGGCTACACATTCATTAATATTTAGGAGTTTGAAATAGAGTGAAATAGATTCACCGCCGCGTAGTCAGGTTCTAGTTCACATCCAGGTCGGGCCAAAATGTCACCACTTCGTTATTTGAACCTATTAGACATTTGATCAGAGCGATTCCCTGCAGGCGGTCCTGAGATATCGCATTTGCATAAAAGTCCTCTTAACCCTCTGATTGGTTGGAATCGGCCTTCCAGATACACTGTGTGAGATGCATCGTTCTCTCGCCCCGAGCTTCCTTTTCACGTGTGACGCTTCACACGTCAGAGTGAACGTTGGAAGGTTGTGATCCCGTGATTGATGGTGTTTATGCTCGCAGCGGGAAAAGCCAATCGGACTCATCGATTCACGGAGGAGGATTGCAAGTAGAATAAATGTTTTTTTCTTGATTTCTCGAGCCCTGATGAACGTTTTAATCCAGATATTCAAATAGTGGAATATGACTCATTGATCAGTCACGAGGATGTTCGGTGCGTCGCCTCTGTTTCCTGTCACAGGCCCATGATGCAGGAAGCAGGATTCCTTTAAACTCCACCTCGCCAGTCTCGCTGTCTTTCTCGTCATCCGTCTTGAGTTGGACCCGGATGCAAATCGGTGGCAGAGATAAGCTCCTAACAGGCTCTCAACAGGAGCGCGGCCGGTTGGAGGCGCCTGACCGGGACGTCATCCAACCGCCGAGTTTGTTGGACATGCGAGCAGAAGGAACCGACTGAAGCGGGACGGCGGTGGGGAGGACGCGGACACGAGAAGCTCGCGGGAACACAACGAAGAAGTGAAGCCAATTTTTCCTCCCGGGGACTTCAGATAAAAGGGACCGACCAGCAGAGCGATTTTCCTAAAATTTTCTTCCCAGCTTCTTCCACTTTTCCTTATCCGGGCCGTTGGGGGCCTGGTGCCCTTTCCGTCAGTCTTTTTTTATCACCGGAAGAAGTCCCCCCCCCCCCCCCCCCCCCCCGGTGCTCTCACCTGTTCCCTTCTTGCAGACGTAGGGCAGGTTGTAGTTGCACGGCACGTCGTTCCATCTGCCGTTCTCGTGAGCGATCATCACCACGCAGTCTTCCCCTCCGGCGAAGAAATTGTCCGGCTGGTTTTCCCGCCAGTTCTCATATTGCTGCACACGAAGACGCCGAAAAAACAAACTAAGAGGGACGACTGTCTCTTTAAAAAACTCTGTTAAACTACATTTTCAGAGACTAAGCACTGATCAAACGTCCTTCTTTTTTATCTATTTTTTTTTAACAATAATCAATTCCAGAGACCATTTTTTTCTACATTCATTTCCTGTTTTCCTCCATTTTTCTTTTTTCTTTTTGAAGATAAAGATACAAAACAAAGGATGCTGTTATTATTGGTGGGAATTGCTAAAAAAAGGGAAATAAATAGGTGGATTTTTTTTTCTTTAAACCAGCTGCGGCTCAGGACGTCGTTCCTCACCAGGTCCATCTTGTGGGTCCACTGGAAGTCGTCCTCCACCGTGCGGTCGTTTAACCCGTTCCAGGGGTTGTCATGGCTGAGCCCTGAGAGGGGGGGGGGGGGGGGAATAAAGATTGTGTAAGTGCAAACAGCACGGTGTTGGTCTTTCCGTCCCTGATGCACGGCGGATAAACCGACGGGCGCTTTCTCAAACGCAACAATTTTTTTAGTCTATTCAAATTGTGCCACTTTTGTCTCCACACTGTTGTTGTTTAACGCAATTACTTGACACTGGACACAGAAGGAGGTCCTCCGTCCACCGCGGGGTCCCTTCACCAGCTCAGAGACACATAGAAAGACAAAAGGCGACGCACATTTATGTGGCCGAACCGACTCGGCTCCTCGGGGTGTTTCCAGCGGGGCGGCGAGGGGGGGGCAGACATTTATCACCGGGTCGTGGAATAAACACAAGGCAGGAGCTGCCATTGCCAGCTACGGTAATGATAGAGTAGGAGGGTGGATATGAATCAATAGTTAAAGCTGAACTATGAAGGCCAAATGAGACCTCAGAGGTTTCTGTTTACAATCAGCTGATCAAGCTCAGACCTCCTTTCTGAAGAAAAGTATTCATTTTTGTCACCATTTAAATGATGCATATGAAATCTCCTGATGGGAAATTGTGCGTCTCGGTCATAACAGCACATTCAGAGACACGCGCGTGTGACCCACAGCATGAACTCATCACTTTGGCAATCCCACTTTTCGTCAGGAAACCAAATCAAATCAAAAGGAAACTTGTCCGATAACGACATCGGCCGCTGCCGAGTGTTTCATCAATAATCTGTTGGCCTCACCGTGTCAGATGTGTGAGGCCGGACTCGAACGCGGCTTTACTCACTTTCTAAAGGAATAACGTCCCAAAGAGACAGAATGCTGCAGCAGCCGTGGACTCTTAAAGGAGCTGTGTGCAGGCTTTAGTGGCGTGGGGGGGGGGGTGCAACACAGGGCGGTGCTCTGGCTGAAGAGGTCCCGCTCCCCGTTGAAGGGCTCAAAGGAAGCTAACAAACACAACGACGCTGGTCCCTTTAAGGTCGCCCGTCCCCGTCCCCGTGTCCCGCTGGACCTCCACCCACCTCTGATGAAGTTCTGCTCAGCCGGGCTGTGGACGCTGGCCAGGTGTCCGCTGTGCTCCCTGCAGTCCTTCTCGGCGTCCTCCCAGGTGTGCCTCCGGCTGAAGTACCTGTAGCAGTGGCCGTGGAACTTCCTCCACGAGTGCTCGCAACCCTCCGTGTCTGCAGGGGGGGGGGGGGGGGACGTAGGGGGGGCAGCGATTAATCCATGAATCCATGTGGTTTTAATTGGTTAAAACACCCACAGCCAAAAAGGTGCAAGAGATTATAGGAAAGGAGGAGAAGAGGGAGACCTTGAGACCCCCCACCCGACCCCTTTTCTGTCCTCTATGCCTCTGGTGACACGCGTCTCCTTCCCTCGATTCCCTTCTTTACTTGGACTTTTAAGCCGGCGATGAGACAGCTGAGACCGGCGAGAGAACGTTTTAATCTATAAAAATGACAACCAATCCTCAAGAAATGGCTTCAAGTGCTCGGCGCTCGCTCCGTATTAAAGCCCCCGTCACAGCGCTGTAGGCGCAGCGCCGCCCTCCCCCTGCTCTCCCCCCCCTCTCCTTTCATCTCTCTCATCTATCGCCCTTCATCTGTCTGGAGAGAGTTTAGCTGTGTGGAACGTGAGCATGAGTGTGTGTGTGTGTGTGTTTTCTGATTCCACGCGGGATTTGTTCACAGATGCGGGTTTGCAAATGGGCCCCTGAATGTGTGATGTCGGGTCGATGTGGTTCGGGCCCTTTCTGTCAGCAAGACCCCCCCCCCCCTTACCCCCTCTCACCCCCTCTCACCCCCTCCCCCCCGTGTGGGGATCAGGGAGAAAGCCTCAGCTTTTCCTCCAACAAATGCGAAGCGACACCAGTAAATTGGGCCGTATGGGGTCCTGCTCAGTATGCAGAGGGGGGGGGTCCCTCATCAAAGCCCTTCTACAGTGGAATATGGAATATGGGCCCCGAAACCTTCACACCGCATTCCGGATCGATATATTTACCCATCTTACGCGAGTGTGTGAGTGTGTGTGTGCGCTCAGTGTGTTGCTGAGTGTGTAACCTTTTACAGCGAGCGTGTAGTCAAAGGATCACAGCCTCCTCCCTTACAACTAAACTGCACTTCCCACCACGTTTTGAGGGGGAAAGTTTTTCCAACCGAATTAGTTAAAAAGTTTGTAACGTTGCACCACAAAATCCAACAACGAGAAGCCTCATGGTTGTGGCTGAAAGAGATTACGAAGCGTGTGTGGATCTCCTGAGTGAAAGTGACCGTTAAGCTCTCACGCTCGTCTTAATGGAAGTCAATTAGTAAAGTTTTTGCTAATTATTTGCGTGGTTTATAATTTAAATTTGACATGACGTGCTTCCTGTTGCCGGCGCCGTGCGGGATCCTCAGGTCACCGAGCGGCCTCGCGTGGAGCAGCTCGTCTCCCGCCGGGCTGCGCTCGCCGCTGATATCGGGAATAACTCGCAGCCTCTCTTTGCACGGGGTGGGGGGGACGAGGTTTATCAGGGCGCCGCAGACGTCCACCTCGCTCGCACACGACTGTGACAAAACAAACGTCTAAAAAGGCTCCTGTCGCTCATCCGTCCGAACCGACGCACCCAGAGTACCGATGAACATCGTTAAACCCACACAGACCCCGAGTGCCGCTGTTAGCTGCCATGTCCTCTGCTCCACACAATTACCGTTAGTGTGTTTGTACGATATGAAAGTTTGCTGCATAATCAAGTCGTGTTTGCGGTGATTAAATGTGACGAATCGCTTCAGGACTTCCGAGCCTCCGGTTTGATTCTGAAACACCTGAAACACGCCATTAAAACTCCTTTTGTAACTATGCGCATTGTCCCACTTGTCAATAAGAGGATATTATTTCACAGTGACATTCATATTATCTGTAAAAGATTAAAGGCAACAGTTCAAAACGTACTATAATTTATTTATGGAGGTTAATGGAGTCACTTTGCTTTGAAAACGATCCATAAATCTTTTCATTCCTTGTCATTTTTCAACTATTTCATTATGTAGCAAGACAACGTGAATTAAGAATGAACGGTTATTGTTTGTTTTAATCTACTGATTTAAAATGAGGCTTCTGATGCGGGACATCGAGAGCTTCAGTCAGCATCTCACAGTGTGAACGCAGGGAAAGAAAGTAGCAGCCAGAATGATTTTACTTCTTTCAAATCAGCGAAAAATCTGCTTCCCTGCCGGCCGCCGATGACCTGCGTCATCCGGCCTGGAGGCCCACGCCTCCGTTAGCGTTGGGAGGGGGTCCAGTTTGGCTCCTGCAGGTGGACGACGGGTTGTTATTAATATCATTATGTAGGAACAGGAACATATGTAGGAACATATTTATAAATGAAACATTAGAGCCTTTAGACCAGGAACTACAAACTACACACACACGTAGACGGGAAGACAGAAAAAACCCCGATCAAAGTGCCTCAAACGCGCTGAGTTACAGAGTGGGAGGACAGAAGAGAGACAGACGGAATGAGAAAGTGAAAGAATCCCAGAAACAGAAAAGAGAACGAAAGAAAAGCTCAGATGAAAAGTAAACGGCGTGTTTTTTTTCTCCCCCTTCAGATCTTCTGCTGATTTCTTCTCCCACTCGCTGACAGTGAGGCTCAAAGCCCGACGTCACATCAGCCTCCTCAAACATTTAGACGTTACTCAACTCGTTTGGGGGGAGGCAGGCGGTAATGTCTCAGCGATTAATACTCCCACGCGCTTTAGCGAACGGCAGTTAGGAAATAAAATAAATGGCGTACGATTCCGGCTGAGTGATTGGTGCGTTTATCTGCATCAACGAGGGTTTTTTTCTAAAATCTCCAGGGCAGCATTGTACATATCTGCGAAAGCCCAAAATACATTTTCAGAACCACTGGGTGACGGTTCCTCTGCTTTGGTGGACATAGTGAATGAAAGACAAAAGGAAGCGCTAAAGTACGAGCTTCCTAACTTCATCACAGCCTCAGAGGGAGGAAGCGGCGCTCTGAGTGGCGTCCACGCCGCTCCGCCAGGGAGGAGGAAACACGGACTCTGATGCTTCCTCTCGCTTTTCTTCTACTTCTCCGCCTGAACTTCCCTCCACACCGGATGAGAGGACGACAGTTGCTTCAGGACCATTGTCTAATTAATCACCTTGAATGAGAATCCTCCCCACTCCTCCCCCCCCCTCCTCTCCCCTCCTCCCTCCTCCTCCCTCCAGCTTTCCTGTTAGGAGAGCAAACGGTGTGGAACGCAGCAGCATATGGAGGGAGAGGAACGCCTCGCTCTTATTCCGCTCTGACGGCCTCCGCCGGGTTTCGAGGGGATATTTTCACGTTGGACACCCGAGAAGCTCCGGGTCTCTTCTTCTCCGTCTCGCCGCTCCCATTAAGACGCGTGAATACCCATTATCGTTCGTAGCCTCGAGCGACCCGGAGGGAAACACAAACCAAACCTAATCGAGTTTTGAGACGGCGGCGGAGCAGTCAGGGCCAAACGAGAGGGGGGGAGGGAGGAGGGAGGTGACTAATTGATGTGGGACGATTAGGTCCGCGTGATTGACACCGAGGACGGAAGAGACCTGTAGAAGCAGTAGAAACTGTCCAGGGAGGTCATCACAAAAGGATCTAACGTGGTAACACAACTCACACGTGAACAATGCGCTGTTTTTTGTGCGATTGTGAAATCCTGAGCCGTTTTTATTCTGACTCTGTCCAGATTCAATTCAGTGCCTCTTTAAGGTCAGGAGAGAATCATTATTACTGCAAATAAAGCGTAGCCATGTCAAAGCAGTGGTACGGTTGGTTAAATGTTGTTAACAGTAAGTAATTACAGCTCTCGTAGGTCCGCGGGTGGATGCCAACTGCATTCTCCTCAAAGTCAAATCCACTCTGCATAAATATACAGCACGTTGTGCCTGAGCAGCGAGTGAACATTGGCAGGAAGCGGTTCCAAGGGACGTGCTGTTTCGACCACAGGGAAGTCAATACGCGCTCGAGATATGCAACAGATTCCTGCAGACATCAGTCACATGACCCTCAGTAAATTACCTTGACTGTAAGAGCACGCGCACCAGCGGAGAGGCGTCAATCATCGTGAGCCCTAAAACATCCCGGCTTCATGGGCCCTTTGACCCTGAGAAGGACCATAGTTTACCAAATGAACATCACGCTGAATCGATTGAACCATGAACTCATCTTCTCAGTGTTTACTGAGCCTATAAATCAAGTGAGAAGTGGAGTCGTTTTTCCCCATCGACACACAACCAGACTCACCCTTAAGTTAGGAGGGTTCTGCAATGGCTGGATTCTTCTCCACCAAAAACTCCCAAATGTCACCCTACTGCCGATACACTCTGCATGCGGCTCATCTAGTTGTTCCCCAGTAACAGCTGTGCAGCCCACTGGGGAAACGAGCCACTTTCCTCCCAAACGTCGAATAGAGAAGGATGAAGGCTGAACATATGGCGGCAGGGCAACGAGAAGTCGCGGCGGCGGCGCAGGCGATGGGCGAGGTGCTGCTCTCGCTTCACGTTCCTCACATCCCACCAAGCAGCAGCCTCGGGATCAATTAGCTACACAAACCGTTCAACGGCAGCTTCATGCTTCCAATGTCTCGATTTCTGTTAGCAAACAGAGAAGAGAGAGAGACCAGGTTACGACGCCATATTTTACCGCTCGGAGCTGCTGCAGGATGAACGGAGCCGGGCACATGGGTAGTTGGAGTGCTGTGCGTTTGTGTGGGCGGCAAATAAACAGGGTTCGTATCAGCTGGTGGAGACATACTTCTGTTTTAGGCTTTTAGCATTGAGGGATGTTTAGGAAACTGCCCACATTCTAGCGGGTCCTTGTGTCTTACGAGGGACGTGTTCACAGAAATGGAATAAAGAGATCCTAACTATGTTTTCAGTGCCGTACAATCAGAAAGAGGTCGTTGTGTTTCCGTTAGCTTGGAAGCCTCTATGGGAGAAACTAGACACTGGGCCTCTGAGACTTTTGAGACCTTCTCACACAGAAGGTTTGACGAATAATCTGCAGGAGAAAAAATGCCAAATCCACTTCATGGTGAACACGTGCATTCTGGAAACATCAATGGTTGAAGTGTGGTTTTGTTTTTCGACTCTAAACATTGAAGTTTTCTTTGTAAGCGCCCTTGACGGAAAAAACGGTTTGGAAAAGCCTGGTTGGGTGGAGTACATTTAGATGGAGTTATGTCATTGAGGGTCCTCACAAGCACCTGTGAGCGTGAAGGTCGGTGAGCTGAGAGACCTACAACTTCACACACACAGATGTACAGACGTACGGCGAGAAAAGTAGGAAAATGAGGCAATAACGAACAGAGGCGTCTACCGTAGCGGAACAGCAAAAGTAAAACCCACCCGCCTCCACTTGTACATTGTGGTGCTTTTCCTCTGTGAAAAAGAGCGAGGGAGGCGAACCAACCGCGTGAACGATGGATTAAAAGACCGGAGGAAAAGGAGCTGATGAGATGGAACCAGCTAATGCTTCCTCCGTCACTTTTCACTTCAGTTCGGGCTCGGGGAGATTCGGTTCCTGCCTCCGCTGATTAGGCAGCGAGTCAGAGGAACAGCAGGTTGCAATCGAGGGAGAAACGACTGACTGATGTCTCTGTTGCTCTCATCGCGAAACGCCACAAACAATAGTGACACGGAGCCGTGGGGAAAAATAATTGAAGGAGGGATTTGTTTTTTTGCAAAGCTTCAACTGCCGTGCGGATTAAAACGCTATGAAAAGTGCGGGAAAGTAGTATTGACCTTTCAAAGCTAAGGACAAAAAAACCCTGCTAAGCAGACGTCCTTATCAAATGAACAAAAAAAACAACGTGTAAAATGTAAATGTCCTCCTCCTCTCTCGCTGGAGGGCTTCAACTCACAATTATTGACTGTAAGATGGGATCGCCATGGCAACAGGCCAGCAGTGGACCGGATCTACTGGCGCCGCAACGGACCCGGTGGGGTGAACCGCGGCGCTCAGCTGGACAGAGCCGAGCTTCTCTTTGCCTCGGCCGACTCGACCTGGAGCCTCAGTCGCAGATACCGGTTACCGCGGCGATACTTATCAACCTGCGTTGTCTTTCCCCATCTCATGATATGAGGCGTCATTTGAAGGATGATGGAACGATATTGCAGCAAATAGGGAGGAGGGGCGGAAAAGATTAATTAATTAATTTTACTGTTCAGCTCACGGACAGGACAGGCTTTACGTCCTTTCAAACAAAACTCAGGCTATGGAAAAAAACAGTCAAATTGTTTATTTGAATCAGTGTGAATGTGCTGTTTATTAAAACTAAGATCAAATAACATCAGATCTTTAGATTTAACTCTAATACGGTTAAAGACGCTCATCCGAGAGCACCTGGATCACCGTCACAAAGCAGACAAAGACCCGTGACCAAAACGACTGCAGTTTATCAGGCCGGTGAAACCCAATGATTTGTACTTACGTTGTTTCTGCTAAGCTGAATACACTGAATTATTATGGTATGTCATTTGCGGTTTTACAAAAGGCTCCTTTGAGTGCCTGCAGGGGGAAATGGCCGACAACACTACCAACATATTCTGCAGAGCGGAACAAAACCGAACAATTTAAAAACAAGTTTCTTCCGCACATCCAGAACCGGAACCTCTTGAGTGAGACAGGGGCCGACTGCGTGACATCTAAACGTATGAAAGCCTCGGTGGAAAGGATCAGTTTGTTTCCAGGACCCCCGCCCAGATCCCACCACCAAAACCCCTGTGTATATCAAACTGAGATCACAGTGAAACAGCAGAGCGGCGGCTGGTGAGCTTTTTCACAGCTGAATCCTACATTCCTGAGAGGAGGCGGGAAGACAGCGACTTCAGAACCGCACAATCAGACCCGCTGCTCCCAATTAGGCGTTGAGGCAGCGACGCAGCACGGCTTCAGTTTGTGTCAACATGAGAGGCACGTCCTGGTGTGTGTGTGTGTGTGTGTGTGTGCGTGCGTGCGTTTGTGTGTATGGGAAGGAGGGGAGGGAAAACACACGCCGTCAAGGGCGTGCATACAACAGAAGGCTGGTATCATCCAAACCTGAGAGACAATCCAGCTGCCTTGATTCAGAGGAGCCGCACACTTCAGGTGATGTTGAAACCCCCTGAAACACAGGGCTACTGATTCATGTCCCATACAGGCTCCCTCCTGTGTGTCCCCTGCACCACAGGACGGGGTTGAATATTAAAAAGGCAGTCACGACCACAGATTTGAAAAGAAAAGCAGTTACCCAAGTTCAATTTGCTGCGGTGAAAGATCAGAAAATGAACAACTTTTTGGAATACTGTTAGATTAAGTGCGCACTCAGGCAATTTAACAATTCACTGGAGGACTCTACCTCTATTAAATCATTCGTAAGCATGTAAAATATTTTGGGAAAAATACTTTTGACAAACATTTTTTAATTTTGACAGATTTCTTTATTTTTTTTCAATGGTATTTTTTCTGACCAAACATTTTTTGACGAAATGTGACCAATTTGATGTAATATTTTTCGACCTTTTTTCAGACCTTTTTTGACATAATATTTTTTTTCAACGGTATTTTTTGACCAAACCTTTTTTGACAAAATATTTTTTGACAAATACTTTTTTTTTATTTTTTTGACCTACTGTCATTTTTTAACAAGTTCTTTTTTGAATATATTTTTTTGGACAAATTCTTTTTTGAATTTTTTTTTGGACAATTCTTTTATGACATTCTTTAAAATATGTTTTGACATAATATTGTTTAACTTTTTTTCAATTTTTTGACCAAACATTTCTTGACGAAGTATTTTTGATATAATATTAGATATTAATTATAATATTATTTGAATCTTTTGACATGTTAGATATGAAACATTTTCAATGTTATAAATTAATATGTCAAAGGAGACTAATAATCTGAAGAAAAAAAAAACGTTATGTCAGCAGCCGATGTGTGTTGGTGGCTGCTGCCTTGCCAAACTACTGCAGGCTAGTGAACAAGGAAGGCACACGTGATGCAAAAATAATTTGGAAGCTGTTAAAGCCAAATTCACTATAGTTTCTACAGCATTTAAAACGTCCTGCCTTGGTCTGACTTCACTCTCTCCACCTCATCCTCTCTCTATTGATTGCTCATCCCACAGAAGAGCAGTAAAAGCAGGAGTAGATACTGGGAGCCAGACAAAAAATTGAAGTAATTCGAAGTAACAACTCTGCTCAGAGTTGAGGTCAAAGGTCACTCTACATCGTTAGTCTTGAGCGGTTTAATGTGTTTCAGAGCAGTGCAGATCCCCTAAAATCTCCTCTTCCTCTCTCCTGTTCTCCCACTCGTTAAAATCTCCCACTCTTTGTCTCTGCAAATATTTCTCGTCAATTTTTAATTGTGCCATTTCTAAATCTTGTGTTTTATGAGATGTAAAGGATAAAGGATGTTTGCATTATTCAGTAACGTTAAAAAGGAAACTCTAAACTCACAGATTTATTTAATTTCCCGTTACCCTTATTATCACTCAGATGTTTTTTTATATATCAATCTTTGTTCTGTACTTTTGAAAGAAAAATAAAGAAGAAGATGGCATTCAAATAAAAACACTTCTTCATTTCCCCAAAGTCTATTGCTTAATAACATTTTCTCATTATGTCAAAAAGTCCTGTTTAATGTTGGCACATAAATCTCAGCTGAAATTGTTTTGAATCGATCGGCTACTTTCAAATATCTGCGTAATCTCCTGATGAATTCACCAAAAAAAACCAACCGCAACGCACACTGCAGCGGTTAGCTCCTCCATGTTGTTCTGCACAGACGTGTGTTTTCATGGAACATGTGAACCGCCTCCCCTCCTCTCAGGGGATTTACTGTAATGAGAGAAGACCCTAGCTGGACTCAGGTGTTCTGTATAAACCAGACACATTATTCCAGAGGGGCCTCTTGGTATACTTTCCTCCTCTGCCCACTTCCCCCACCTTCTCCGTTTGCACATCCTCGTTATCTCCGTCTTCCTCAACCACGTTTTTTTCTCCGTTTTCCGTCTCCAGGTCCTGCTCCTTCAGCATCATCTTTCACCCCCACCCCCTTATCTTCACCTCCAACCGTCACCTTGCTTCTCCACCTCTTTTGTCTCCTCCCTCGCTGCCTTGTCCTCCTCCTCCTTTGTCCTTTTCGTCATCCCTCCCTCCTCCGCCTGCTACACTCGGCCATTTTTCCTCCTTCCTTCCCCACAAAATAAACACATCGCTTTTTCGCTTCTGCCAGGTTGAAAAGTGGATTTTTCTTTTTGTTTGCCCACCACGTTACCTTTCTCACAGGTGGCCCCCCCGTAGCTGGGCAGACAAAGGCACACGAAGGAGCTGATCTCGTCGATGCAGGTTCCTCCATTCTGGCATGGATTAGACTGGCAGTCGTCGATGTCTGAAGAAAAGAAAAGGGGGAGAGAAGAAGATGGGGGGGGGGGAGTCAGGTTAGATGCAAACAAACACACCAAACGGCACCTTTTTAAAACTACCAAACAAACCCCTTTTGGAGATATTAGACCAGATTTGGAGAAAATTATAATTAAAGCGAATTGATTGGACTTCATCAGCGGGCGGTTTGGGACGCAGTGAAGCGCATGATGCTGATTTCAATGTGTTTGCAGGACGTGCAGCAGCGAGGGAGGGTGCGGAGTGGGGTGGTGGGGTGGATGCAATATCAACATTGAGTCTGAATGTGCGCGCTCACATGCATATTCACACGGCGGGGGCGTCGCAGGGGTGAGAGTTCTCAATCTGTTCGGAAAATAGTAACTATTTCTCCGGCTGATCCGCGCCTGGGGGGGAAAATCGTTAAAACTGCAGCTGGTCGATCCGCAATCCTCTGCCATCACAACAACAGAGCGGGTCCCTCAAGGAGAAGGGGAGGTGGGGGCGGGAGGGGGGGTCCTCGGCGAGAGGTCACGGGAGAGGAAGGGAGGGTAAGAGCGAGGAAAACGAGGGAGACGGTCGCCGAAGGAGAGGAGAATGATGCGACGGGAGGCTGGCAAGTGTCAGGGTTGGATTACAGAGGCTTTGCAGGCAGACGGCGTTGGGGGGGGGGGGCGGGAGCGTCTGTTTGGATGAAACAGCGTGACGGCCTCGTCGATGGGGCCCCTCTTCGGGCTGGCTGATATTAAAAGGCTGGATTTGAGACAGGAGGTGCGCGAGAGAGTCGTGTGGACGCCACTCTACAGAAAGTTACTTTCGAGTCTAATTCAGATGATCCGACATCCGTTTTCTAGCGCCACTAAAAGCAAAACATTGAATGAATCAATTGACTTCATCAAGCAACTGTCATGCACAGAATGCAGCACAAAGTGGTTCACAATTGATCCTTTGCTCGGCTAATGCCGCCAGATTGACACAAACAGCAGCGGCCACAAGGTAAACAGCTGGAGACGGACTGTACCATTGTTGATAAGGCCAGGGGGGGCTGAGTGAAGAGGCAGGGACCTGCTGCAATAATAATGAACTGTGTGATGTGTCCCTGACTCAAAGCCATATACATCATGCGCTTTTTTTCTTTACAGCGTAGCATAAGGCTATTTGAGATCGTTGAAGTTTTAATTCGCCATAAAGACGCCGCAATCACCACTGAGCGAAAACATCACTCGCCAGGATTATCGGCCAATTGTGACAGCGAGAGTCCCCGGTCTCCCCGAGACGCTTGGCAGCGAAGAGCGGCCCCCGCTCAGCTAATGGCGCTAAACGGCGTTGGTGTTGGAATGAAAAGGACAAACGGCGGCATTTCAGCACAAGCAGGCGCCGAGTCACACTAACGCGTCGGAGGAAATGAAGAATGTGATACATGTGATAACGCTAACTGGGGGGAGGAGGGCTGTCAAAACGGATTCAAACGACCCCAAAACAGTCATATTAAACATGACCACATGCCCACAGAACGCCACATGAGCCGCTGAGGAACTGCTCTTAATTAAAGCTGCGTGTATGACGACCCGGAGGTTCCAGCATCTGGCCTCGTTGAGCTCGCCGGCACCGGCTGTACATTCGCTAGTGGGTACGTTAGCTTACCGCACCCTGGTCCCCCGAAAAACTACACAACAAGACGGCCGTGTCTGTCACAATGTCATAACACCTTTTAATCAAATACTGCATGAATCTGCCCGGAGGAGAAGTTAACTTAAACCAAAACGCACACCCAACGCTCAGGGGAAACGCGCCACACACAAACCCACAAGTGAAGCAGCAACGAGCTAAAACGTTTCTCGAGTGGGCTCGTGAAGCTCGTTGCACCTGCGCGCCACATCGTCTCCATCAGCTCGACTCCACTCGAAGCCACTCCACGTCCACTCTGCCCGACGGGCTCCACGAGGGACCCCGCCCAGCTTAAGCAGGTGGCGGCGTGCGTGTGTGTGTGTGTGTGTGTGTGTGCGTGTTTGTTTGTTGGTATTTGTGCATTCGAAATTGTGTGTCCACGCTTCTCTGGAACAACAGAACCCAGCGTTCAGTCTCTCAGGGGGGGTCAAGGGGAGCGGCGCTCCACTTATCCGCTGGCGGAGAATCGGGTGGAGGGACGAGCGGGTGCCAGCCGCCGCCTTAATTGCCACGCCGGCGTTGTTCGTCGGAGTCGGTCGGGCGAGGCAGTCAGCGAATGACGGCTCAGCGCTGATTGAAAAGTGCACGTTCCAGCTGGGAGCGTTGATTGAATATGTAACCTGGTATTGTTGTTTATTGACTATCTGGAGACTCACCGCAGGCCGATTCGGACCAGGTTCTGAATAGTTGAGCCCCCCAGTTTCCCCCCTCAGGGATCAACGTCCGTTCAATTCAATCTGCTAACTGTGTGTTTGTCCAGAGAGAGTCGCGTCCAAATCAACTCCATCGCCTCCTCCGCCTTCTCCGACACTCTCGTTCCTCCGTTTTGTGACTTTGGTCGTTATTTGTTCTACTTCACAGCAGGGGGGGGGGGCGTTTGAGAACGCTCAGGTCGAAAGAGAAGTAAACAGCTATTGCTCTGTTTTATTAATGAGACCTCAACTGCAATCAGCAATCTCATGGCTATGAACATCCAGCAGAGAGAGAGAGAGACACTTCTCACGGGGTGATAAAAGCTTGGAGAGCAGAATCCATCTTTCAGCCAAGGACCGGCATCCATTAAAACATGGTGTATTATTTTAGAGGTCCAATAACTCTGCCGTAAAAAGGTAGGTCACGGTTTTATTCCTGCTAGAGAGGGAATGTCCCCCAAAGTTCTGCTGGTTGTAAAAAGTAATAACTCTCCAAGATGATAATAAACTCGTGATGTACAGTTTGTTCACCGTAACCACGAACAAGTGGTGGAAGAGTATTTAAGCTTCTTCCTTCCTCCCTCGTTCGAACTTCAACATATCAGGACTTTGGATGAGTTAAAAGAGTTTAGACACAAATGAGGATAATCTTGAAGCTCTGTGATCAATCGACCCTTTTGTTTCATATGGGACGTGAGCGGCGGTCTCCTGGGTGGCGACACTTATATATATATATACACGTATATTATCCTTTTTAACAATAAAATACCACAATACTGTGGTATTTTGAAAGGGACATGATGCCACTTGTGTATTGATCTGCAGAGTCTGAATCCTTATTAGTTCTTTTGCAAATTGTCCATTCATCTCCTCCAAACACTCATGAATATTCATTAATTGGCTGTTGGCTTCGACACAATAAAAGGGCAAATGCTTTAAGAGGTTGTCTCTGACCGTGAGCGAAGTGCTTGGTGTTCCTGTGCTCAGCTGCAGTCCAGATGCCAGATGCTCATTTTGAATGTCGATACCACCACGAACCTCCGTATCTAAAGGTCAGGAGGTCAGCTATTTCCATGACAACCTAATGGCCGTTTATAGGTTTTATGTTTTCTTTGATTGGGAGCTGTTTGGTATTTGAGGGGGGACTCGCAGTCTCGTTTCTGTAACGAGGTAAAACGCGCCGCTCCGTTGTTTAAATGATTCTGTTGTTTGGGACACGCGGATGCTTCTGAAAACGTCCTTCCACTTCACTTGATGTCGGATTCTGCACGACCGCCCATGGCCTTAAGGTTTGCTGCGCTCCCAGTTTAGTGGACGGGAGGACCAGTAAGGAAGATGAGCGATGACATCAGCAAGTCTATTCACCTCCTGACGCTTAAGGTGTCACTTACTCATCACACCAAGCAGTTGGGCTTTCTTGAGGAAATGGTACTTTCCCGAGTCGTATTGTCGTGGGTCTGCACCAAATGAAATGTACCTCATTTCCAAACTCGCTGTGCCGAATGTTCACTCGCCCTGTCACCAGGGATGGGAATTGATAAGATTTTTACGATTCCGATTCCCTTATCGATATTGCTTAACGGTCCGATTCCTCATCGATTCTCTTATTGATTCTCATTTGGTGAGGGGAATAAGTACAAATGTGTTTGTTTGTTATAACTCGCTTTAATTAACTTTAAGACCACGGAGTATACACAAAGTACGTGTAGCAACCTCAAAACAAACTTAAAGTACGTGAGTTACTTCTCAAAGTAAAGTATCCTTGCCTGGGTCACTTGTTGTGTCGCTAAGTAGAAGTGTATCAAACACGCGACAGTCCTGCAAGTGAATCGCATGCTGGGTGGCCAAATGTTTCTGCACGTTGGAGGTAGTCCCTCCCCTTGACGAAATTGAACTTTTGCAACTGTTGCAAGTGACGGAATTTAAGTCTATTCGCGTAAAACAGAGCCAAACTGCTTCAAAGCGCTTCAGTCTCGGTGGCACGTTTGCTGCGTTCTGAATGAAAACAAACGCAGTGGGTGTGTGACGTCATGACGCATTCACAATGAGCGCCATCGATAAGCGGCATCGTTAGGAAGACATGCGAACGATTCCAAGGTATCGATTCTCATCCCTACCTGTCACTGCTGAGTGGGCGCCTCCACCAGAAAACAAAGGTGGGGTCGACCTTTCGCGTGTAAGTGGAGAGATGAAAGGGGGGGCGGCAGTGATGAGATGGGGAAAAGAAAGGCGTGACACACGCGTGCATCGTGGTGGCGGGGACGGGGAACCTCATTGAACGCGGCGCACCAATCAGTTCACCATCCTGCCGCCTGAAAGCTCCTCCCCTCGCTCCTCCTCCGTGGACTAAATGCCAGCCGAGCAGATCAAGCAGCAGTCGGATCAATTACACGGAGCACCTTTGAACCACCAAATGCCACCTGGAGACCCCCCCCACCCCCACCGTCAACGCGACAGAGGAAGAAAACGCACATTTGTGACACACGTGCCCCCCCACACAAACACACACACAGTCCCATCAACCAACAGCGGCGACAGATCTGGTCAGTCTTTTTCCTCAAAATTCACCTAATTGCCTGGGAAACCACAGCGGGCGCTTTGTAGGGACAAGTTGTCATGGCATCCTGTAAAACGGAGGCTTTGAAATGGA